GACAGCGTGAAATCAGATATCTGGAGCTTCATGATATGAAGCTTTCTTTAAAGCTGCAATCCTCACCCCTGCGGGGATGTTAATGCATGCGGCCCTAAGTCAGTATCCAATATCCCCTCCCCTCAGAAAACCTTCTGGATCTTTTGCATATATTGAAGGTTCTGAGCGCCCTGCACATGAATGTGAGGGAGGAATGTATCGAAAGCACTGCTTATTATTGTTTGTTGTTATTGAGTCTTCTTTTATTGAGTTCGCAACATTTGAAAAGACGGTGATTTTGCCCTAAGTCCACATTAGCATATGCTTTCAAGGGTACATCTGAGCACAAACATGATAATAGCAAAGCAACATTAGAGCTCTAGAGGACTAAAAGTTGCTGACCTTGAGCGTCCTCTGCGGACACCTACTGGTGGACGCGTCTGTCTTTGTCCAATCATAGATCGTCGTCGTGGTCCTCCCACTGCTGATGACTGTGGTCTCTGGCTTGCTCCTCCTGCTTCTATGGTTGGTTGTGTTGCCTCAGCAGCCATCCTGGCTGCGCGAATCTGTGAGAGTACTCTTAGTTAAGGTAAAGTTTGTTCACTCGTCGAAACTGTTAGCGTGAACAAGCAATGCGCTATGTCTATTTTATTTGGACTATGTTACTGACTAACCGCTGCAAAATCTGGGCGAGGTATCTGTAGAATACGCTGGAGATGTTTTGCTATATCTGGCATTGAATAACGCTCATTCGGGTTATCTGACCAACATCTCACCTAAAAATACTAATTTTGCAGCAGATTACAAGTAACTTTGAGGAGATTAAATCTTACTCTAATAAGATTTTGAACTTCTGGAGGTATGAAAGATGGGAGCTCCATTCGGTAGCCTTCTTTAACCTTGACCGAGAAAATACGCATGCAAGCTTTTATCTAGTTTACTAACATTTTGATTGACTTCGGCTACAGTCATGCCAGGATATGGCTCAATGCCGTTATTGTATATCTCCCAACACATGATCCCTAAACTGTGTAACTGTGTAAAATTAATTTGAATTTGCATTAG